AACTATGTTGAACAATGCTGTTGCATCAGGGAGAGCTAGTCCAGAGAAAGCATGTGGAGGAGGTTGAAGTAATGAGATTGATATGGTGGTGTTGAGTTGGACTCTGCTGAAAGACAGTAAATGCCTGAACAGCTCTGTTGATGTGCACAAATCTTGGGGGGCTGAAAGAGGTATCTGCTATTACAGGGAGGGGAAAGAGCATGTTGTGGAAATAGGAGCTTGAATGTGTTTGGGCTTCTGTCCTATAGTTTCATGGCATCTTTCTCACTTTATGCAGTTTTAAAGTCTTAGATCAGGTGCTGAAAAGCTTTACTCATCTGTAAACTGGTAAGACTTTGAAGAACAAATTGGTGCTACAGAACTTAGATTGCCTTAAGATGCTTAAGTAGGTTTATAGCTCTTGAAATGGCTTATGCCCTATACAACTCAGTTGGAGCTGGGAGAAGAGCTTGACTGTTGCTGCCTGGTTGGGATCTACCTGGGAAAGATGGGGGAAGGCCTGGCTGGAAGTCCTTACCCCACCTGCAGTTACCAGAAGGCCTCCAGAGATGCAAATTCAAACCTGGTATCAGCTGAGCAGGCAGTTGAATAGTATCTGTCAACCTTGAAATAAGAGATTGGATCTTTTTGCTATGACCTGCAAACAGCAAGTGCCTCTTCCCTCTCTTTGGCAACACATTCTTCCTCTCATCTTCCCTGTCCTCTTCTGCTTGCTGATTTAAGTGCTGGAGACATGTTAGGCTTGCCAAAATTAGGGGCTGTGGTGCATGACTTTGGCAGATCTGTGCTTAAACTGGACACAAATGTAGGATGCCCAAGATGGTGAAGGTGCTCACTTAGCAGCAGACCTCCGCCTTGATTAGGCACAGATCTTGTGAATTGGTTATTTAGATAGCTTTATCCAGAGTATTGTTTGGATCTCGCCTAGGGTAGCCTCTGCATTCCTCCAATCCTGAGGCATTAGTGGTAGCCTTTCCATTTTGCGTTTAACTCTTGCTAAGAAATACTGAATACATAGCTTAGTTTCTCCAAAGCCCTGGGATGGTATTCAGTCATATTTGAGCTGGTTTTGGTTTCTTTAGGGAAAGAGGGGTATAACTTTTTCATATATAGACAAAATACTTTTCTGATAGATCTAAATGTGCGAAAAGCAGTTTCTCTGTAAGGCTACCTAGCATCTTGTCCTTGCTTAGCTACCAACAAGGTAGAAGTGCCTTAATACTCTCCTGCCTTACTTAAATTGCTGCTAGAGCCTTGAGCAAAGGTGGAAGCTGCGGACCTGGGTAGCAGGTGGTACCTGAAGAAAGAATGATATCTGAGAGTAGGCAGGCAAATACCTGGTTAACAGTGTTTGCTCAAACTTAACAGCTTTACCGGCTGGGCAGGAAGTTCCCTCCCTTGTGATTCATGATTGCTGACTGTTGATGATAAACAGTTACCTGGGAAAGCTTTAAGCACACTCTTACCTTAACAGAGGAGATTACAACATGCTTAATGGTAGGAGTGTGATGGTAATGCTTTGCTGAGGCTTTCCTGAGCCACTTTGTGACATTCTGTTGAACTTGGCAGTAATTGGTTCAGGCATCCTTCACAGAAGTTACCTACGTCATGCCTCGAACACCAACTTCTAAAATGGCATCGATGACTAAAGTACCAACCTCATAGTTATCCTGAGTTGTTGAGGCAAATAAATACTTGTTCTGGAACACCGAAGTCTCTTCAGTTTTAATCTCTAGCATAGTGAGCAAAACCCCACTGCTACTTGTCTCTGGAGCAGGTGCTCCTTAGGCTTCCAGATCTCTTCAGGTACGGGCTTGCAGGTGATATCTGCTGTAACAACCAAAATACACCTGTACAATTGAATTTGCTATGCAAGGCAAAGAACAAAGGTACTTGAGCATGCACAGTAACTTCTTTTAAGGCACACAACAGAAGTCTAAAGCTTCAGCACTCAAATATATGCCTTGCACTGGGAGCAGGGTCGATCTTGCAGGGTATGGCTCTGCAGCCTCAGTGCCACTCTGAGCCAGCTGCATGTGCTCTGAATTATCATGAGGAGGAGGAGGAAGGCCACGCAGTGGGATATTTTGGTCATGGGAGGGCCCTTTAGAAAGGCATCATAAAGATCCTGTTTTTATAGCACAGAGAAATCTTGATTCCTGCCATTCCCTTGCTATGTTCAGACTGTCAAGAGCTGCTAAATTGAACACTAAAAAGCGTCACACTGCAGAGCAAAACTGTTATTTTTGGTTCCATGTTGCTGCTGTCATCCCTATCTTACTTTCCTTGGGCTTCCTTGGGGTCATCGCTTTAATTTGGGAAGTCCTTTGGAGAGAAATTAATTCCTCCTCCGAATGCACCACCAGCAGCTAGCAGAGTCTATCTTCAGACTTCCTTCAGGCAATATAGGGGGAGTGCTGCCTTGCTCTGCCCTGAATGCCTGGGTATGCTAAGTAGCTACTGGGAAAGAAGTGGATAAACTGACTGTTGTGACTGGCAGGGGGAGTACTTGTCTTCCTAGAAGTGGATGAACTGGGGATAACAGCCTAAAAGTTGTGCTACAGCAGGTTTCGATAGGCAGCTTTCAGTTCTTTCTCCTTACAGCTGGATTGGCTTGTACTTCAGAGTGAAGACCATCAAACTTCCCTAGGTAATGAGGAAGCAGCTTGTTCAGCAAGACAGCTTCCTTCATCACCAGTCAGGATCTGACAATGAGTGAGGAGGGGTACTCCTGTAAATAAACCCCTTTAGGGAAGAAAGCAGGAAGCTGATGTGTTTGGGAAGTGCTGTAGCAACCCAGCTATATGGCCACTGTAAAATAGATTAATCTGAGCAGACGGGGTAGGCTGAAGTAAGGAGTGCTGTGTGGTCCCTCTTCTGGCAATGATCTTAGGACAGTAATGTTTCTAAAAACTAGAAAATAGTCTTGGCTGACTTATGGGCTTGTGCTCAGGCTGGGAGTAAGTCAGGGCAAAAGCAGAATTCGGCCTCTTGTGGAGGCTCAGGTCTGTAACTTGGCAAACCTTCCCTGTAAGGCAAAGGTGTGTTCTGGCAGCAGGTTATGATCCTGCACTTGTCTCCAACCAGACTGAAGAGTTGGTTCATACATGGTTCTGTCTGCAGCACTGCCAGGCCAGGCCAGTGGTCTTAGACTGGCAATCCAGATGTCTCTAGAGAAATGAAACCAACTTTTGCACAATAAAGATGCAGGAACAGGACCAGATTTTTTTTTAATGGCTGGTATGGAGTAAAACTGAACACAGGGAGTTACCTGTAAATGACAATAACATAAATGTTGAGTCCACTAAATGCCCTTGGCCAGGAAACAGTGTGCCTGATTGCTAGCAGAGATGAACAGATCTTCATAAGGGGTTCTGTTTCGTGTAATGGCTACTTCAGTTGTCATAACTGGCTAGCATTGACTGGTGTTACACTGAGTGACTCTCTAGGGTTGAGAAAGAGTCCTAGTGGGTAACCTCACCTTCAACTCTGTTGAGAGAGCAATAGTAGAAAACACATCTGGTAGTGATCATTTCACCTAACCAGTTAGTGTAACTATTTTCTGACCCTTTTGTACGGAAGGCCGTCCCCATCTGCTGAGGTACATGAAGAAAGGATGCAAAGCAGAATTGGTAGCTATTCTTGTTAGTATGCTTGGTTGATAGGGAGTATATCATTACTGTAGCTGTGTTACAATTCTCTGCTGCCTCTGGATGATTAAACTAGAATCTGTGACCAAAGCTTTGACCTTTGCCACGTGAACTTTGGAGTATTTCTGGCAGATGCCATAGCTATGTGTCAGAAGTGCTGAGGGACATTTTCTTCTTTTCAGTGGGTTTGGAAAATAGCAGAGACCTGTGTTTCAGGCTCCAATACTGTCATTGTTATGAGCCTGCAGGTAGTCTGCACCAGCAGCCAATGTAGGTCTGCAGCCTAAGGGAACTGCTCTTTGATTAGCTGGAAGGTGTGTTCCTGACTGCAATGGAAATGGGAAGTTAAAACTTCAGAAGTGGTATGCTTTCTTCTTGTGTCCACAGGGAATACACTGCCCAGGCTCCACACAGGCACGCTGTAAGGTTCCTTCCCTTCTGATGCTTTGAGCTGAGGCTGGTGTAATGGCTCTGATCAGTTCTGTTTTAAAACATCACTCTTACCATGGAGGAAAAGATTGACTTCCATTTGGTCATGCTCCTCTGTGTGCAGGCTGCAGTGAAGAGCCCATGTGAAGATGTGGGTCGGTAGGAAATCACTGTAGTTGCTCACTGTAAGGGTGATCTGCACTGCTGGTAAGCGTGTCTATTCACTGAAAGAAGCTGACCTTGGAAGGAAAAAATAGAATGTAGTGAAGCACTGCAAAGCTGTGCTCAGTGCTGCTTTTAGGTAAGAAGCCCTTCTGCTTCCCAGGGCTAAATCCATACACCCAGCATGATGTCAGATGGCTTACATAAGTTCATCTTTCTTTATGGTAGACGTGTCAAAACATAAATACGTTTCATCAGGACAACACATTCCAGTGTTGCCGGTTCATGGCATAACTGGCTGCTCTAAATGATGCTGACTAAAGAACCAAGGACATAGGGCAGTGCACTTCAGTCATCTTAAAACCAAACCCAAACCCTCTAAAACCTCTCATACCTAGATACGTTTAGCCTCATGGGCAAAAATCATAATGCATGTTACCAGGTTCATTATAATACTGAGGTGGTGCTTACGGCATAGCCTTCAGAGATGAGTGCTGCTTCCTCGTGTCCTGAGCTTGTGCTACAGCATGATACCTGGGCAGCAGGGACTGGGTTCTGGCTACTGGTTATTACACTGGCAGCTGGAGAAATAGTTACGCGTGCAGAATTTTCCATTAATCAGAGGAAAAAGTCCTACACAGATGGTATATAGGATAGATTACGGCTCGTAATCCTTTTGTGTCCTAGAAGATTAAGAATATCCTGGTGTAGCTGCTGTCAGCTGACTTTTTTATTTAAATGATTGGAAGTTCTTGCTGCAGTTCTGCAGAGGACCAGGCTTTTCCAGAAGCCACGGATAGTGCGCTGTGAGTGTTTGTCAAAGGAACGGTCTGTGTGAGTTCAGCCCCAGTTATAAATTTACAGGAACTCAACTTGTGCCATGTAAACAGCAGCAGCTACAAGATGGCTGAGGAATCACTTGCTAGACAGCTCTACGAAATCTAACCCTGAGGTAAGAGCTGAATTTTCTGAGGAGGTACAGTGAGTCTCATGTGAAGAACTGGAGGGTGTCTGAATCCTGATGCATGGGTTGCCCCAGGACGTGAAGATGAATGCTTCAGTGGAAGAAGAGGATGGCTGCACGCTCTGAGTTTTCTGGCATGGATCTGTATGAGGATTACAAATCACCTTTTGATTTCAATGTTGGAGTGAACAGAAACTATCTTTACCTGTCGCCTACCATAAACCTTTCTCCACCTGGATCACCTACGCTGTCAAAGTCTGGTAACTTCCTTCTCTTCCTTTTCTAACACCCTACATGGAAAGCTTAGTGATCAGTATCTGTAAAAAGGAACTTCTCAGATTAAGAATATGTAAAATTTGGCTGAAATGCTGGTATAAATGAAGGGTTAAGGTTGACCTGCTGTTAACTCTGGTAGCTTATTAGCTTTGATGTGTCATGTAGGTTATATCCCATCTGCTGTGTATTTACCAGCTTTACCTTATTTGATATTTCTGAATTCAGTAGAAAGGCACTTTGAGGGAAAACAAAGCGAGCAAAAAAAGATTAGGAACAAAAGGGCAACTTCTGCTAGACTGGAGCAATTGGTCTATTTTGTCTATTTGCTTTTCTAGGGGGAAGGTAGGAACTGCATACTTAGTATGACTTCAGAGCTCTGGTAATCTTAATATCTGCCCTTGCCTTAGTACTGAAAATATCACTGATTAACGAAAATGCTCTCTAAAACCTTTACTCTGTTCCATCCAGCATTTAAAATGCTGTAAATCTTATGCCTGCAGATTCTGTGCTTGCACTCCCTTGAGGAAGTGGCTGTTGAATGCTTGCTGCAGCAGCATCCATCTATTGCTTAACCATACTAGTTTCTAGCTGGTAACCTCTTGTACAGAACACCTACAGCCGTGCCTCCCAACACATCCTGGTCTGGTTTTACCCTTTTTTTCATTTCTGTGTTGGCAGATGTCATTTTCCAGACTAATTTAAACTATAGACAGCTTAGCCCTACTTCAGGTGTGGCAAAGCAAAGTTACAGAGGTGCTGACTTCTTGATGGGCTCGTTCTTTAAAGTCCTAAAGAAATGTGCATCCCTTGGGGAACCTCTGTGTGAACAGAACCAAACTCCTCTGTGAACTTCAGCTAGAGGCCACTGAGGAGCAGTGGGCTTTCACCTCTGTGGTTATTGCATCTCCCACCTCTCCTAAAGGGGGAGGAACCATCCTTTGTACCTGGTGATGCATCACCACAAGCACCAACGTTTGCTGGGCCTTTCCACATTCTTTTTCATTCACTTTGAATGATTATATGATTAGTGTTTAGGAGAAGCCCAAGCACTTTCTTCCCCGAAGAAATATGTCTCTCTTGGCTTTTTCACTGACATAAATGGGAAGCACTTAAATTAGATCTTTCTTATATGTAGCAAAATAAATATCCTCTGTAGCCCTGTACATTTCTCGGATGTTGGAGTGATCTTACAATCTTGTAACAGCTTGTTCTCCTGAGCTCTAGCAAATGCCATTTTTCTTTAGCTTTGCCAAATATGTAGTGATAGCCAAAATGCTCATCCTGAGTGTCTGACACAGAATATGTCTGTCTAGAGATAAAGCTTTGTGAAGGCTGACCCTCCCCCACGCCAAGGGCTGCTCGTGTGAAATGACCAATACTTCCTTAAACTGCTGATGTTTACTGCTAATCTCTGAATTCAGGCCAGGAAGAGGTAGGAACTTCTGGTCATAAGAGAGCATGAACTTGGGTTGAAACCAACCACAGCAAACCCCAAACCAGAAAACCTGAGTGTAAACTGCATGACTCTAATGCTTTGCCTATCCCGGCAGAATAATAGGGACATAAGTGCCATTTCTCTTAAAGTGATCTGTGGAGTCCTAATCAACTAACTTGTTCATGTCTTTATTTGATTCATTTAAGTAGATCTAATAAACTGCTGGGATAATATGTTAATCTTACAGACACCTAAAATCTGACCTTAAAACTAGGTAAGTTTTCTGTATATTAGGTAAGTCTTCCCAGTTTTTTTCCCCAATAGAATTTTTACTCTGTTGAAGAGTTTGAGATGTGATATGCTCAGCTAAACTTGGTGTAGAGTACCCAATGACTGAATTTTAAGTCCTTTGCAACTCTAAAGATGCAAGAGAACTCATGTGACAAAAGGTGACAAGTGAGAAGCCAGTAACAACAGTTCTGCTGGTGAACAGAGAAGACCACACATGAGAAATGGTCTCTTAATAACACATTGAGCCAAAGTGTTTCCATCTGTGGGCTGACTGCCATTTCCCTAGTTTCTTGCCCCACACCCCACAAAAATATCTAAGCTGGGCCGTGTACCTTTCCTTATGAAGCTTGCTCAAGGCCAGGATCTTACTGTCTGTCAGCCCTAGTTTATGATGGTAAAATGATAGCATGGTAAAGGTTGGAAGGGACCTTCAAGATCACCTAGTTCCAACCCCGCTGCCATGGGCAGGGACACCTTCCACTAGACCAGGTTGCTTAAAGTCTCATCCAGCGTGGCCTTGAGGACAAACAACTTGGGGCATCCGCAGCTTCTCAGGGCAATCTCTTCCAGTGTCTCACCACCCTTATAGTAAAGAATGTATTCCTTTTATCTACTCCTTTTTCAGTTTATAACCATTATCTTTTGTCCTGTCACTAGGATCGGGTATATCTGGGTTGTAGCCACACCACTGTGGAGGTCTGTGGGTTGTTACCTGTGTAGACACCTGCTGCTTGGCCAGGCTGCCTAGCATGGCCTTCATGTAGCACAGATTAACTCAGTGGCCTGCGTGTATTGATGTAGATTGAGGAATGGGAGCAAAGTGAGCAGAGAGGTGAAGAGTAACAGTGTGAGAGGGAGGTGCCAGGATAAACACTGATCAGAAGATGTTTGCATACTTCAAATGGAGCTAAAGAAAAGGTTATAAATGGGAGGGGGGCAGACAGTGAGGAGAGGAAGGCATGGTTAGGTGTACAGAGTGAGGTATGGAAGAGTGTGAGTAGCAGTGAATTCTTCTCGTCCTAAAAGATCTAGAAATGGGAAGGGGAGGAGAGATCATTCCCTTGCTTCTTGGCATTGTGTCTGAAGTTAAGTGTAGGCAACCATCAGCACAAACTCCCTTAAAACATGAGTGTTCCAAAGAGAAGATATATTCCTAAAGCAGAAGCTATTGCAGCGGGAGACAGTCCAGAATGATTTCCTACTGCTGGATTCCCTTGATCTATTTTTGGTGTGATAATCCAGATGACTCTTCGTAACCAGATTGAACAGGCTTTCCTCTGGATGTGCTAACCCTCTTGGAGTCAGCATGGTCTGTGGTACTTACAAACTTTCTGAAATGGCTTTTGCAACAGCAAGCTCTAGTTCCTGAAAGACCTGCGAATGGAGAACAAGGCCAGGAGCCAGAGGCTGATATACCAGGAGTCACAGAGTGTAGGGGGAAAATGCAGCTTAAATTGTTGGTTCTCTTTCAGTCTTGCAGGCCTGTGTAATGAATAGGATAAATAGCAATTTGACAGAAAGGTATGGCATTCTTAAGCGTTTGATGTTAAGAAAAGGAAATACATAGAATCATAGAATGGTTTAGGTTGGAAAGGACCTTCAGATCATCTAGTTCTAGCCCCCCTGTCATGGGCAAAACAAAAATTGCCTGATTTGTTCTGAGATACAAGTCATAAGCCTTTTTTTTTTTTTTTGTAGTTTATTTTTTTATTTTTTTTATTTTTTACTGGTGCTGTAGTGCTATGCTTAGGTTTGGGCATGAGACTCGAACTTTTTTTTCTACCCTAAATTTCTGCCAGAAAATAATGTATTAGGAAGCCTGTAGGAATGATGTTATGTTTGTGTAGAAAGACAGACATAAATCTCTGGGAAAACATGGTGTAGGTTTCAAAACTAAACCCCATTCTGCATTTATTTTCTTTCTGTATGCTTCCTTCTCAATGTGCTCCTTGGTGACTTACCAGTTACAAATGTTCTGCTCACGTAGCAGTGTGCTTCTAGAGGAAGAAATGTGCTACTGTGTATTTCTGGACACAAATACAGCCCCAAAACATGTTTTGGAAGGAATTTGTGGAATTGAGCTTTACCTGAGTACAGTAATTTGATCAACTAAAAGGCCTTTTCTTAGGCTTGACAACTGCTAGGAGCATGTTTCATAGGATACATACAACTAATTACAGGCACGCAGAATGTTTTTTCCCCCTGACTTTTCAGTTGACTGTGATGTAGCTGTTTGATATCAGCCCTCACAGTGAAATCATAGTGAAATCACTGCACATGAATGAGTTCTTGAATTCCCAGACCAAGTGGTAGTATGGGCCACCATCAGAAGCTGCTGAAATCAGGGTGGGATTGTATTTGGTTAATTACTGTAGTGACTAGTAAGGTAACATTACTTAATATGTCCTCAATTTGCCTGATTTATATATTTATATAAATACATATATACACACACGTACACACTCTCTCCTTACAAACAGTCCTCCTGGTTTGTTGTTTTTTTTTCCCCTCTCGTGTTAAGTTTTTTCTTTAATTTCTTTTTTTACTATGTATAAAGCTATTTTACCTCTTGAATAGAGAATTACTTCTGGGAATCCACAGTCATTCCAGCATGCAGTCTCTTTGCAAACTAGAGCATGATTCCTTACTGTATGTTTGAGCATCAGCTACAAAGATTCAGAATAGTAAATCTTTTGCTGAAAGATTTGTTTGTTGCATTAAAAGGTGTTCAAAGTGATCTTACTGCAAGGGCTAAGAGTAAACGAATCTTTAAAAGTGAGTGCATCATGGCAATACAAATAATATTGTTCTTCTTGCTGCCCCTGAAGCTGTAAAGGTGAAAACTGAGGAAGGCATGTTTGGAATTCATACAGAGGAGCAGAGTTTTAGTTTCTGGACTTGGAAGGGGAAGAGGCAGCAGTGTGAGCAGATGCACGTCCTCATTAGTCCCTTCTCAGTCCTCCCCCGCTTTTTCTGAAGTGATGGCCTTTTGTTCCCGACCTCCTTCTCCGGGCTTCTCAGCTGTTCATGTGCAAACCAGCAGCTGACTTCTAGTTCCACCATTTCTGTGACTTTCTAGACACAGTGGTCCTGGTTACTCAGGACAGAGAGGTTAAACAGGGTATGGGGGGAAGAGTTTGTACTTGCAGTGCAACCCTTTTCTCTGCTGAGCTTGCTTATCACTGTAACCATTCCCAGTGGGTGCAGAATGGGCATTTTTTTTAATCTGATGTGGAGAGCAGCGAGGGAGGGAGCCTCTGTCTTGGTCCTGAGCACCTCCAGTGCTCCTGGAGTTTCTGTGCTGCGTGAGTGAAAGGGAGCAGAGAGCGCATGGGCTCCTGGGTTGTGTAGGAACTGCTGGTTGGGGTGTAGGGTTCTGTGCCTTGGGCTCTATCAGAGCTGTGGGATTCGTTGTTCTCCATGTGTTTCCGGTCTCCCATTATAGTCGCAGTTGCAATTATATTGAGCTTTAATACCACTTGATAGAATGAAATAGCCAGTAAAATACGTCTGTTTTCCTGTATGCTGTGGTACTCGGAGAGTGTGATTTTGGTGCCCTCCCATCGGTTTTCTTGGTGCACTGGCACAAAAGGGCTGTATATTATTAACATTAGCTGCTATCTGGCAGACATGTGGTGATCTGACTTCTACTGGTTTGTTCACCTCAAGGGCTGCTGAGAAGTGACTCTATACCTGAGGTTGGAGAGGATGCTGCTGCTACAGTTGGTATGGCAGAAACACTCTCAGAAGAAGAACAGGATGAGCTAAGGAAAGAGCTTGCTAAGGTAAATCTCTTGCAAATAGCTCTTAAACTGGTTTCGAGAATGAAAATCTGGGATAATGCCATCTTTGAGCACACAGTTAATGCTTTCTATATTTATTCTGCAAGTGTCTAAAGCCGGGTATAACACTTCTGTGTATTGTGGGGAGGGTAAGGGAAGGTGTCAAGGACAACAGCCAGTTCTGGCTATGGGGAATTAAGCTGAACGTGCTGAGCGTGCAGATCTTAAACCTGGATACATGAGTGCCTGCCCCTTTTTTTAACTCGAGTGGGGGGGGGTGGTAAATAGGCTGCCAAAGAGAACACGGTTGGAAGCTAACACCAAGTATTGTCTTAACTGGTGTGGAGTAACTGAAGCTGATGTTTTCATGAAGGATGCTTTGTAGTAGTATCTGTGTAGACACTGTTTTGCTAATGTCTAACCATGTGCCTATTCTTGTTCGTAATTCAAGCAGCATTTTTTTTTTAAGAGCGAGTTAAAGAAGTACTCCTCAAAGCACAGTCAAATGTTCAAGCCTGATACGTGCATTGCAAAAGTCAAATATTGAGTCACCAGTCTTTTTTCTTTTGTAGCTCTTTAGGACTTCAGCACCCTAACAAAAGACCTGAACTTAAGCCTAAGGTTGGCAAACAAAGGTCAGCTGTGAGATAAGCACATTTAATACAGTCTTGGTCTTGGTATTATTTAATGCCAAACCAATCAGCTGAAGATGGTGAGGGAAATCTGGTCCTGCTAGGTAGCGTACATCATGCTGGACTTTGGACAGTATCCGAACAAGGGTGCACTGAAGGTTTAGACGTATGCCTTTGCCTTTGTACATGTGACCTTTGTGCCTATGTCACGTTTATACAGCGCACAGAATGGCATTGTAAAACTGTTCTGATATCTTTGATCATGATCTAGTGGTGCTTCTGTGAAAGGCTTAAGTGACCATCTGTGTAAAGAAGGAAGTACACAACCAATATGGTTTCTAGTTGCTGAAGAGGTGCTGTGTTTTTGTTGTTGCTGGGGGAGGGTTGTTGGTTCGCGTTTTTGGTTTTCTTTATATTTATTTATTTAACTGCTCAGTCTTCCACCATTTCCACCCCTGTTCTGGGGAAGGCACTCCTCTGGCTAGACCCAGCCTGCAGTTGCTGGCTTAAGCCACAAAAGAACATTTCTGTTCAAGCAAGGAGACAGACTTGTATATGGATCAGATACGCTCTGAGTTTCCTGATACTGGTCATACCTTGGTATCTCTTCTGACGTGGAAGGAGAATACAGGCTTGGCAATTGTCCCAGGTTTGTCTCATCTTCAAGCTTCACATAGATTGATGTTGTCTAAAGGTAATGATTTCTAACTGTACAGTCTTTTAGTTACCAACTTCCTTGTGCATATCCCAGTAACAGAGCTAGCTGCAGGTAGATTACTTTCTCACCAGCTTTTCTTGTAGACTATGCTGGATTTCCCTTTTAGTATTTAGAAACAACTTTGAGGCAGTGTTAAAAACATATTAGCCCTCCCATTACTGATACCTAGTAGATGTTTTAATAAATACATAGTTAAATGGCTAGGTATGTTGCTTTTTAATTTACCTCTCATCAACTTTGCTGCCACAGGTGGAAGAGGAAATCCAGACGCTCTCGCAGGTGCTAGCTGCCAAAGAGAAGCATCTAGCAGAAATAAAGAGAAAGCTGGGAATTAACTCATTACAGGAACTAAAGCAGAACATTACCAAAAGCTGGCAAGATGTCACCTCAACCACAGCGTACGTACTGGTTCACGATGATTGTCTCAGCTGTTGATGTGAAAACTGTGGTGTTCTTGTGTCATGTCTAAACCCTCTGTTCTTGTGAAATAAGATGAGTGCAGATAACAGAGTTATGGCCACTATTAGCCATACCAGCTCATTCAGGATAAGCATGATTGACCATAATATGGGCAATTCTAATACACTTTTTGTCTGATATACCTGAGATGCCATTATTGAGATACCATGGTGTCCCAAGTCCAACAGAATATCCTTCTTTTCCAGCCTGAAAAATTGTGGTGAACTGAGCTTATGCAGGAAGAGTGCAAAGTCACAGATAACTTTCTTGCCAATCACAACTGTTAGCTTAAGGTCTAGAGTGCCTTCTGCAATTAATGACTACATGGAATGTAAGAGGATATACCTCAGACTTTTTATGCTGAAATTTATTAACAAAACCATTTGGTATGAGATTTTGGGCGCTTGGCACACACAAAAACCTAATCCCCTGTCCTTTTTCAGTGTTTGTGCTTTTCAGGGTGTTGTTTTATTGGGGTTTTGTGTATGTGTGGTTTTTTTTCCTGTGTGCATCATTTTGTTTCGTTTTGAGTCCCACAATAGGAGATAGCAGCTGGTCTGGGGGTGGGGTAGTAGGTGTGTGTTGGTGAACCTGATCTGAAGTCTGAGGTGGCAGAGATGCTGTAGCCAGGAGGGACTGCAGTGGCTAAAAATAATTTCTTAAGTAGCTTATCAATTTGACCCTAAAGTTGAAGTATACCTCTGATACAAATCTCTGTACACTAAAAGGTTCCTTATGTGGTCTGTTAAAATAACTACAGACTTAATTTTGTTACAGATACAAGAAAACATCAGAAACCCTGTCTCAGGCTAGTCAGAAGGCTTCTGCTGCTTTTTCATCTGTTGGTTCAGTCATAACCAAGAAGTTTGAAGACGTCAGGTAGGTTTCTTAGCTTTTCCCAAGTAGCTGCATTTTGGTTTAAGCATGTGATCACTGAAATAAATTTCTGCTGTTAACGTACGTAGCACTTCTAAAAGTCAATCTATCAAGAATCCTTAGCATCTGTTCTAGGAGAACTGAGCAACTTGCTGCTAAATCTTGCACGTCCTCACTGATGCAGAAAAAGTTCTGCAGAGTTCTGTGGTGTGTGATTTATGTATGTAAGAAAAGCAACGTATGCTGTTACCTCCAGTGCTGCTCTTGTATTTCTGGTAGGACTGCAGGTGGCAGCAGCTCTGTCTGCCTCTGTGTGATACATAGAGCACTGTCATTTCTGTTCTCTGACAGAAAGAGCTTGTGAGAAACATTTAACCAACTAATGTCTTTAAGTGTTTGTGGTTTGGTGGTTGTTTTGTGGGTTTGGTTTTTTTTTTTTTTTTTTTTTTGTCTTGTGTGTGGATTCCTTTCAGGTGTGTGTTACTTCTTTGTAAGCTGTTATACCTCACAGCAGTGGCTTGATTTTATTACCTTTTTTAATAGACTATTGGCAGTTTCTAATTCTCAAATATTGGCATACAACATATTTTGACTGTGTCAGATGACACAGCCCTTCATGCAAGTTAGGTAAGTTTAGTGGTCATTTTTAGCACCGTTGTGAGCTGCATGCGAAACTCCTCCTGGGTGCAATACAATCGTATGTTTAGCTTACAGTTCTTTGATTATATGATTTTTACTACTGGAACATACACAGCTATTCATCTCTGCTTGTCATTTGTTGTGAATAGTGGATCAAACTTACTTTTCAATTATTGGGCAAATAAAAATTCACATATTCTCACAAAATATTGCTGCATTGTAAAGCAGTGTAATAAAATCAGCCCTCTGTTTTCAATTGCTGCCATTCACCTCTTTCTTGCTTTTGAAATCTAGTGAGAAAACACTTTGAGGTGCAACTACACAGTTACATATTTTTCTTCAGATTTATCAGAACTTCCTTTCTCTCTTTAATGCTCACTCTGGCATTGTGCAGACTACAGGCATTTTCACATTCCTTTAGGTAAGGTGGGCGCAAGAGTTGTTTCTGAAACTAAGCATGTAGTCAGCCTGTCTCCATTACAATCTTTAAGTTTCTGTCTGTAAAAGGTAAATTTTTTTTTCTCCAGTGTTAATGTAGAACTGAAGCTCTTTTAATGTCAAGGAAGATGTTTCTTCATGCTCGCCGGGTAACTATCCAAGAACATGAAATCTTGAGCACACATAATAATCAATTATTCTCTCTTCTAAGAAAGAATCTATTAAAATGATTCTGCAAGGTTGTTTGGTTTTTTTGTTTGGTTTTTTTTTTGTTGTTGTTTTTTTGTAAAGAGACAGGATATGGTTCTGAGGTCAATGGCATGCAGAATTCCTCCTTCTCCTTGTCTGTACAGTGTTTGTGCCTTGACAGAGTAAAAATCTTCCCTTTTTTGTGTCTATTACAATGAGCGTTTAGCATTGTGACTCTGATCAAATCTCTAGAGTCTGAGTGTAAAATAGTTTATGCATTCTCTGTTGATGGTTTGTCTAGCGAAGCAATCCTTATCTTTGAGTGAGTACTTTAGCAGCTCCAGATTCCGAGTGTGTTAGTTACCTTGTCTGCATTGCCTTTTATCTGCCTAGTCTAAGCAAATATTCAATGTTAAGTTTTCAGTAGTTAAAATTCCTGTGTAGCAACTTCTGTCCATTGCTGTCATCCATCTACACACCTCTGGGTCTGGCTTCATCTTTTCTGTACTCTCCCACCAAGTAGGTAAAGACAGCAGCAGGTTCTCTGTAAAGATGTAGGGATCTGGCTTGTGAAATACTGACAAAGCTATAGGCCCAGGGGCAATGCCTGTGGGGGGAGATGGTCAGTGACAAGGGAATGCTAACAGAACTCAGACTCTGAGGTGAGCTCAGTTTGCTTAAGTGTAAGAGTAGCAGCCTGTCTGAAATACCTCTCCCTTCAGCATCAGTGAGACAACAGGAACCTGGAAGATGTGTCTATACCTTTCGGATGCAGAGCTCAGCTGCTCACTAAGTGAGGTTCTGCTGGTTTCTTCCTTAAGGCTACGGTGTTCCCCTACTAGTATTAGACTGCTGCATTTGACAAGGGCAGACTCATAGCTCTCTTCTGGGTTCAGGAATTTAATACCTCGAAAGAAGAGTGTCCTAATTACTCAAGTTAGTGGCTAGGTGGGTGTTGAGTACTGTCTGTAAGAAACTGGGCCACTGGGAGGGGATGTAACAGAGCCAGAGGAGTCCATGCTGTTGGTGTGCTTCTTGGGGAGAATCATGGCAATGGAAATTCAAGGTATTGTTATAATTCAGGAGCAGCTGGGTTTAAAAACAACAACAACATAAAGTGGGAAGAACTAGTGCTGTTCAAGATCTTAGTTGCACGTAAACAGGAGATTAAAAACCTCTGTGTTTTTTGCTTTCATGCGGACCAAGTTCATCTGGGATGCAACCAGTGAATTTAGGTCCCAGGGTTATGTGATTACTCAAGTGGTATCTACCTTTTTAAGACTGTACAAGTCTGAACTTTAGAAAGTTTTAGATGCCCAAGTTCTTCCCTGGAAATGAGAACTCATGGGCCTGATGTTCAATTGAATAAATACTGGATATGCAGGTGTGTTTTTATTCTTAATCTCATGTAGCTGCTTCATCATGGCTTTGCTGTTCTTGTACTGTTTTAACTTAGGGACTTCTCAGCTGTCATGGCATGATTTCTTCTGTGTTGGACTGTTTCCACATGTTCCATGCAGCAAACATCACATGCAGGTTTTCATTCTTGCACTGCAAAGTGTTTTTGGAGGGATCTGCAAAAGGGAGTAAGGCAGTTAGTGGAAATGTGAACTTGGGAAGTACTGAAATACAGAGGGAGAGAGGATTGGTGATGTGAAGTCAGTGCATTCATTATTTCTTCTTTTTTTGTGTTTGTTTCCTCCACTTTTTGTTACGCTGAAAATGAACTCTGTTCCTTCTTAGGTTTCTCCTAATACTTTATTCTCCTTTATAAGAGCATCTTGAACTTTTGATGAGCTAGCCATCCTCGTGGAGGCAACCTTGTAGATGGCAGTAGAACCAAGATGTAGCACTCTGCAAACTTCCGTGGCAATCATGACTTTGCACTCAGCTCCTCTTGCACTGCATCCCTGTTACGGGGCAGAAGTTCACCCTTGCCCTGTTCTGAGACTGCAAAATAATTTTCTTTGCTTGCTTTGGAAATCTGATATGATCACGGATTCCTAAACATTGTCATGTATCAGCATATCAGCTATTAACAAAAGCAAATAACCAGGGCTTGTGCACTCTTAAGCCCATGTTTTCCAGGCAGGGACTCTGGCATACCTCCCTATGCCTTTCCACAATGTGAGGCAATGTAGTGGCTGTAAAAAATAATCATGTAAAGGATAAGAAAGCTTTTAATGCAATAAAAAAATACATGGAAGGCTGAAGAACAACTTACAGTGAATTTTTTTTTTTTTTTTTTTTTTTAAAAGCTACGGGTTTGCGTACGAGTATTGTAAAAAAGGTTTTCTTTTCACACCACCCATCTTGATGACCTAGTTGAGTGAGTGCTCTGATGTGGCATTTTGTCGTTTACGCTACTTGAAGAACATCTGATTTGATGTTAAAAAAAAAAAATCGAGTTCATTTATCTAATTTAGCTCTCTTGCAAGCCAGATCATTCTGTGATAAAACTATATACTATCTTATGGTGACATTTTACAAAACGGATGCTGAGTATACGTAAGTGTATTGTACAACAGCAAGTAAATCCTTCATGAATCTGATTAGTCCTTCCATTAAATAATCTCTGTGAGATTAAACTTCTCTAGATGCCTGTTAAAAAGATCTGCAATACACCATATGTTGTTGCTTTTCGGTATAGCACATTACAGATTGTGAATATATATGGGAAAAGGAGGTAATTTTCACCCTCTTTACCCTTAAACTTCTTGCAGGGTGGGGGGAAGTTGCTGAGCACGACTGGGCAAAGAGAACTATTTTAGTATCAGCCTAGTTGTGTACTAAAACTTGGCACATAGCAAGACCAGAACTTGTAGCAATCTACATGACAGTGAGGAATGTAAATTACACTCCAGAAGACAGTCAGCTTCTACGTGCTCTGGAAAAGCTTGTGGAAGCCAAACCATCCATGAAGATTAAACACAGCAGCTGAGGAAAGGGATGAGATGTGGGCAACATGCATTACTGACATGTGTTAGGACAGCACCTGGCCTTTGCATACCCGATTCACAGTACGCTTTACATACAAACCAACCTTCAGTTGTGCATCTGCCTTGAGGGATCCCAGCCTTAAGGGAACTTATTAGGTGTGGTGTATTTTTCTATCACTGTATTCTTCTGATGAGCCTCTCAAATGAATCTCTTAAAACTTGTTCTGCAATTAGCACAGAACCTTTTTGCTTCTGTGAATGTATCTTCCATTGTGCTGAAATACTAATTGGAGTTTTGAAAGTGCATCAAATATGAGAGTTTCTCCCACCCTTTCCCTCCGCAGCAATTGACTGGACTGTATTCTCTTGAAAGGCATCATAAAACCCAGTCAAAATTTAACATTCCAAATACAGTTATGAAAAACTATGATCATAATTTTTCCTAACTTTTCTAACTTAATATTGTGGTATTTGACAAGAAACATTTACGTTAATGTAAGACTAATATGTATCAAGAGTAAACTGAGATTTTGTAGAATATGGAATTAAATTAGATGATCGTGAAGGTATTTGGGAGCTCCTTAATCAACATCTAGTCACCTTCTAGGTGTAGGTCTGTGTTGTCAGTAAGCAAACAGGAACTGTAATAGCAACACTGGCAGGTTGCAGAAATCCTACATGAGTATCAGAACAGGGTTGAGACTAGGACTTTTCCCTGCCCTCAGCATAAACCTGACCTTGACTATAGATTGATGTGACTGTTCTTGCTAGAAAATTTGTACTGCTGAATAGATAATTTGTATTGATGAGCATGAAATTCTTACACTGAACTGAAACGGAAGCCTTCTGAATGTAGGAGTAATTCTTTTCATAGGAAAAGTAGTTGATTGGTAAGACTCTCCAGTGTTCACTTTGTACCTGGTATTGTCACAACTGTAAATGCAGCATGACTCTCATTGCTTGAGAAACTCGAGTAGACGGACCATAGCAGCTATGCAGAATATCCAGTAGCAAGCATGGTACTTGAATATTTCTAAAAAGGAAAAAAGTTGTAGCTTTTGCTCTGATGTACTTGTGTGTGCATGGCTAAGCAATTTGTACAAGCAAAACAAAGCAGTTAATACATAAGACTGTCTGTTTACCAAAGATATTACCCAGAAGTCAGCTTTCTAAGTCAATCGCTTCTCAGTCTGTCACTTAAACTAACTTCTTGCTTTCTTTTTCCTTAATGCTGGCATTTAGTATACGCTCCATACAACATTCAATTAGCATGCCTATTATGAGGTAATGTATGCATAATGCAACTGTTGGGTTTGTTTATGTTCATATGTGGAATCAAGTCAATTTGCACTTAAGTCAACTCATGTGAATTTAAAACAAAATCAGAAACCCACCCAACTTTGTAGTGGATTGTAATGTAACATAAGACTTGGTTTATTTCTGCTTAATGGTGGTGGTTATCACCCGTCTGGAATGTGACTAAGTGCACTTCCCTGCCATTTAGAGAATTATAACAACTTTTCCCTGCCTATTAGAAATGTAATGCTACTAAATGACTCCAACTTTATAAAGCAATAACTTCTGACATGGGTTAGAACAATGAAAGTGAGTAAAAAATATTGTGGTTTCACAACAAGGCTCTTGCTGACTTGGAGTGCTGGCCTTTTCTTGCTTGGCACTATGTCCTTCCATCTCCTAGGGAAGTTTGGTTTGATCTATATATATTAGTGTCAGTGTGTACTTTCTCAAATGAAAGAGTGCTGCTAAGTGTGGGTGACTTACACAAATACCAAGCTAAGGGGGAAGGGAAGTTTAAGACCTCTTTTGGAAAAAAACCCAAACCAAACCACAAACCCTCTGGTTTTCATCTTTAATAATTATTTTTAGTCTCCTGTGAATCCCTAGGCCTGGTCTGCTGAAGGCAAGCATTTTCCATTCTGCATAAATGCAGGAAAAGTGTACAGGCTGTTGCACAAACGTGCAAATGGAGTGCTAGCTAGTTGGAGCGTTAAGCCACTCTTCTGACCCTAACAAATGATACACTGGCCCTCAGCACTGAATATCCCAAGGAGTCCTGCTTTTCATATACAGAATTTACATTTGTAATCACAGCTGTTTCCAGCACTTTAAAGGCAAGGGGGATTCTCCCTTAAATTTAACATGTTAGAAGAAAATGTCACCATTAACCATATTTTGTTAATTGAACACATGCCCTAATAAACTAAACTAGTTTTCCACTAGTAACAAGTGGAAAAACTCTGGCAAGCTTTCTTCAGTAATAAGGTACTAGTCTAACCAGAAGTGATGACTAAATTGTTCTGAACAAACCCTTTAAGCCAGAAATCTGTTTGAAATCACTGGGAATAATAAGCTAGACTTAAAATACTTGCTAGTTCTCCTTCCCATGTTGTGATGAAAGATCCTGTTGCTGAGCCTGGCAGTGCTCAGTTGCAAGAGATATAAATGAGCTACAACTTGAGTGCAGTTGAATTTTAGTTTTATAATACTTGGGGAAATCCAGATAGAAACTATATTTAGGCTACCCTTAAACCAAGGAAAGAGCCGCGAACAAACAAAACTTTGTTGACATTAGAAAAAGCAACTGTCTGCTTGTTCTATGATATTTATAGACTAACCAGATATGTTTTTAATTCTGTGGTTCCTTTCATTGTTATTGTTTTCCTAGAAATTCTCCTACTTTCAAATCCTTTGAAGAAAAGGTTGAAAACTTGAAGGTAAGTGTAACTAAAACTCCTTGGTGATTGCGGAGCTGTGAATGTGGAGAAAAGACAGAAGTGGACTCAGGGCAACCTGTGTTTTAGTTACTGGTAAAGTGTTGAAGGTGCTTAGATGACATCTTTTTAAGTGCTGTGGAAATGGTTCCTCTGCCTAATGATCTGAGGATAAAAAATGGGCTTCCTGCACCTCTTACAGGAGGATGCCTTTAACTAGGGGACTAACAGCTGGCTAACCTGCACAAACAGCTAGTAAAATGTACCTAATCTTACATATCCAAAATGGTCAAGGCTTTTATTTCCTTGTCTTCCTAAAGACTAGTATCCTACACAGAACAGCTTGGGATGTTTCTCTTATTTCTGGCATAAAACACACAAGGCCTTTGTACCTCAATTTAGAATTTACTCACAAAAGCCTCAAGTGCCAGGAACAACCATTATTAGCTTCTCCAGGTAAAAAACTCACTTTAACTAATACGTGTAACTGGAACCAGATTTGACTGTTCTCATGGGTGTACTGGGCTGAATGAGAAGCATGCAAGTGATAGCATGGTGAACTAGAGGTTCCCTTGCAAACTAATTGACATTAACAGTCCTGCCACTTCCACGGGGATATAATGTAGAGGGAAAGGGCAAACACATTATCTGAAGAAAGTAAAATAGTTGCTGTGCTTCACTAAAGGTTTTGGGAATTCCTGTTGAGACTGAAAATTCTTCAGTGTTCTTTTGAGGTTCAATGTTCTCTTTTTAAGCAATACAGAAGCAAGTTTTAACTCTGAACCTTTCAAAGCCTAAATGGCTTGAAAGGCTGCAAACCTATATCCAACTGAGGGCATGTCAACCTTCAGACTCCTTGGAATGAGGGCTGCTGCTTCATACTGTGCATCAAGAAGGCAGAGGGAGACTGCTATGTTAAATCTGCTGCTAGTGGTTGTTTTCCACATGATACTCAAAAACTTGCCTTTAGAGTATTGTGGAGGTAGTTCCATCCTGGAAAAGCTGCTCTGCTGAAGTGTTACTAAACTTCTTCCTGCAGAGGTACTGGTTTATACAGTTGAGCATGTTTGGCATGTCAAGTAACTGCAGTTTTATGTCGAGGCGCTCTCTGTGTTCTAGTCTAAAGTTGGAGGAAGACAACCTGCCGGGGGAGACTTTGGAGAAGTTCTCAACTCTGCTGCCAGTGCCAGTGCCACAGAAACTATCGCAGAACAAACACAGGAGGAGACCCACTGAGATTCCTGCTGCTGTCCTGCTACCCACTGCCAGATGCTGCAAGCAAAAACTAAGCACACTTGTAACATTCTTTGCGCTCTTTCCACCAGATGTGCTTTTATTTAGCACGTAGCTGTTTTACCAGGTTAACTGATACCAAGCTTTTTCGTGGGTTCAAAATATTTTTGAAACTAAAATATGCCGTTTGGGGTTTTGTGTGGGAAGGGGAATTTTTATGCCTTTCAAGCGTTTAAAGGCCTTACCTGTAATTTGAAGGCAACCTTTAAAATATAGCAATGAAAAAACCCTCTTTTGAGAAGTTAATTATATTGTACATATACTGTGGATACATAATTCCTTTTGAATCTGTAACTACTGCTTAACTTAATCATTATGAATATGCTGCTGCTGCTGCCAAACTGAAGCTTGTGATTATTTCAGTGAAGTGTTGCCTGCAGAGGACATCAGACCAGGAGGATGACACCAACTAAAGAAAGGACTTCTGCTTCAGCAGGCTTTAAATAAGTTACTCTTAGCAGGATTACACATGGGTAGGAAGGTACTGTCTTACAAGCGTGTTCCTCATACAACAGGTGCAGACAGGGTAATACATAACATCTAGAACGTACCCATTTGTCTGTGGATTATCCACCTAGGAAGCTTCTGACCATCAGAGAAGCAAGATGCCTAGCAGTGCTGATGTGGTTCAGTTACAGTAACATTTGCAGTCTTGTTTTTTGTACATGATGCTAATGTGGTAGGATACACTCTGCTGAACTTCAGATCAGTTGTAAGTTCATCTTGATTCACACATGGTGGCGTCATACACTACCAAAGCAAGGACTGCAAGAATAAGCCTGAGCACGACAGTGGTTCTTTTTGAGGCAGCAAGAGAACTGCTCTCAAATGCTAATGCTGTTTCCCTCGCAGGCTGACCGTTGGAAACATCTGCTGCACTGTCTTACTCTTTTTACGTGTTCAGGGCCCTGCTCCTGTTTACGACTCCAGAAATCTGTGTCGCAGCGCAGTGTAGCTCCCCTACAAGATCTGTTCTCCTACAAGGTCTGTTCTCCTACATGTTGCTTTAGCTGACGTACTCTTCAACTCTCTTGTATGTTGTATGTGTCTGGCACATGGCGTTGGTATGGTCAGAACTGGAAACAAGTTTTGAAAACAGTTGTGTGAAATTCATGAAACTTTAACCTGCCACAAACGTCTGGAGGATAAAAAGTTGGCTCCTGACAACCTTGTGTGTCAGATGTAGTAAATATGCTTAATTACATGTGAGAAGCTTAATAAAAACACGTATGTGAGGAATGTATTTTCCTGTGACTATGGAGGATTATTGATGTTTTTATTTCTAATTGAAACAGTCCTTTTAAGTTTGGTTTCACAGTAGCACTGACAGCTACTACTCAATGCGGGAATCTACGTGGAGAAGCCTGGTGGTCCTAGAGACTAAGCCTGGGTTGACTTCTAGTGACTTACATAAAATTGAACTGCCCCGATTATGCCGGGGAGTTGAGGGAATGGGCCGAGCTGCACCCCCAGCCTGCCAGCTGAGAACGGAGACCTGACGGCACAGCGGGAGTAGCGCTCAGCACCGTACAGAGCAGGTCCTTCCGGAACACGCTCCTCCTCGGAGCGGTTCCGTTTCATCTATTCAACTGAGGAACCAACACGTAGTCCGGAGCGGGGC